AAACTAAAGATTATGGGAAGGAGAAGGGTGGAATTAGGAATCACCAGCCAGATGTAGAAGAAGCAGGAGGCGAACATGCCATGCTGATAAAGGTACTGCCATGTGGCAAAGCATAAGTAGAAATGTGGGTCAACATAAAATGTGAGAGCTAGTTATTAATAAGCCTGAGCTATTGCCTTAGCATTTTGTAATTAATATAAGCTTTTGTATGTTTATTTGGGGCTGGGTGGTCAGGACAGAAGAACACCATCTGTGACTACATCTTTTTTTTCAGGTTTTTCCCCTCTGTTTTGACCATTACAATAGCTAGATTGTGAGAAATCTGAAATCTCATTGGAAAATTAGAAGTGAGTAACATGATTGTTTCAATATACTAAGGAGATTTAGAAATTTATTAAAAATTCTATGTGAATTTAGGTGATAAGAGAATAGTAGATGCTAAAGGAAATGAGTAGAAGTGAGGACCATAATCCAGAAACCTGATTACAAAGACTTATTTGGGCAATAACTATTCAGAATGAAATGAAAGTTTTTGATGAGAAATTCATGCTCATGAAAGGGTTACAACAAAGCCAGACTGTCAAGTGGTAAATCCTACTTCATTTGACCAACAACCTGTGTATTCTATTATATTATAAAACCAGCATTAAAGAAACATTCAGATTCCAAAACCAAAATCACAGCGCATCCACTTAAAATATTTTGTATCATTGTCAGTTTTCTGTATGTGCTTGATTGTCATGAGATATTCCCAAGGGACTTTAATAAAGGACGAGAGGAAAGCTTTTAAGTTGCTCTGCTTTCTATGTATGTGTGATGAAGTCACACAGCACACATTGTGAACAAAGTAAATATGTGATTTTAAGAGCAAATTTCCAATTGATTGCAATAAATTATGTGCTTTCAATATTAATGTATTTTAAAACAACTATGACCTTAATTTAATATGCTACAGTGTCTATGCAGTAATAAAAATGACTGTCAAGCCGGGCGGTGGTGGCGCACGCCTTTAATCCCAGCACTTGGGAGGCAGAGCCAGGCGGATCTCTGTGAGTTCGAGGCCAGCCTGGGCTACCAAGTGAGCTCCAGGAAAGGCGCAAAGCTACGCAGAGAAACCCTGTCTCGAAAAACCTAAAATAAATAAATAAATAAATAAATAAATAAATAAATAAATAAATAAATAAATAAAATGACTGTCAAAAATTTGGACATTGTCTTCTCTTTTGTGAAGCCATCTTCAACACCTGTGTAGAGTTTGCTCTATGTATCAGAAACAAGAGAGCGCTTTGTTAACTATTAGGAGCAGATCCCCTCACAGGACAGTAGGATTCACACCCAGGGCCAATCTGTTCTGTTTTAATTCCTTTGGCGGAGCAGCCACATGCAAGGCACTCTGGAAAGCTGTGTCCAGAATTTCTTTTGTAAGATTACAAAAGTGCTCCATAGTGTTTTCAATTCAAAATCCCCCCCCCCCCACCGCTCCCTCAAAGTTACAGAAACTGTGAATTTCTGGTTACATATACTGAGGTTCCTGAGAGGCTGTGATCCCGGTGTGCATTCCACCAGTTCCAGATATGAGCATTTCCCCAAACGTTAGAAACCAATTACTTTCATTAAAGACATGGAGCTAAGAGTTTTGTTTCTTTTAGGCAGAATATTTCATTTTGACCAAAGTATCAAATAACACAAAAACAATTTTGTTTTTTGGTGAATAGTCCAAGTATCATTTGAAATTCAAATGCTTTTAATTCTAGGTATTTGAATTTGAATATGTTCAAATTGGCAAGATTGATGAATGTTAGTTAGCATGTGAACAGAATGTTCAGAAAAACCAAATTCGGTAGATATTTTTCTTATAATTTCCCATGCAGATATGGGAGGACCCAACAAAGAACTTGCAGACCACATTTACAAACAAGTCTAAAAACAAGGGAAAGGAATTTAAGCATGACAATTATTTATTCACTTTTACTTTTATCCTAAATTATTTAAAAATTCTATTTTTGGATCATCCATCCAAAAACAGAATTTAAAGGAAAGAAAGATAAATGAAAATTACCTAATTTTTTTATGGATAATTAATTAGATACCTTCTTATAATCAATAGCATTTTGTAAAATTAGTTGCTAATGACTTCTTTGAAATCTCTTGTTGGTAATATATACTAATAAGACATGTATTACTTGTTAAAGCATAAATCAATTTAAAAATGTGTAGAGAAGCTTATATGTTGTGGTTGACAGTCTTGAAATTCTGATGTTAGGACAAAAAGACTAGATTTCTGGAAAAAAATAAAAAAATGTGATGATATTTTAAACTATCTAGTTAATGAATTTGATGTCCTTTTGCATAAAGAAAAAACATGCTAGGTAAATTAAGAAAAATGATACAAAAAAGGAAAAATACATGAACAACATTAAAAGGAATATTTGAAGGACTAATTTGGGAAAAGTATCCTTCAACATGCCAAATTTCCTTAATGAAAAGAATTGTTTAATTCCTCCACAGACATGGGATTTGGCTTTCGTATGAGTGTTCTTTGTTCTTTATCACAAGAATTACCTGGCTTTTTTTGGGGGTGGGGGGGAGGAGGGCACTATTCAACCAGCATCCACTGAAGATTAATTCTCATTTGTTTTGTCTTGGAACCCAGAGACCCCACAGTGATCACCAAAACACATAACTGGAGGTACACAGGTGCTGCATTGTGAAGACAGGAAGGGCATAGTAATGACAGTCTTGTCTATCCAAAGCAACAGTTTCATGATAAATGTCTTTGGAGAAAAATTACCCAGAGGAAAGTAAGCATGCTCATGAGCAATTCAACATGGAAAAGTGACCCTGCATTATCTCTGGATCAGACCCTTAGACACTCCCTTTGTCTTCTCTTCAAAACTCCTTTCAACACACCTTCACCACAAACACTGATATCAAAGAGTAAGCCCTCTTAAAATTCACAAGCATCTCCCCAGAGTCAGGATTCCCTATTTCTTTCAAGTTTGGGGAATCACAACTTTAGGGGTCCAGTGTTTCTTGTGTTTCATAGAAAATCAGGCACTATGTTGCATGGAAGAAGAGCAGATGGTGATGAGAAAATACCCGGGGGGAAACAAGAGGTCTTACTTCCCTGTCGATCTGACCAGGCCATGCAAGACTGGAGGAAATAATGGTGTTTTCCAGTGTACTCATATATTTCTAATCACAAGGCTATCATGTTTTATTCTTCTTTAAAAAATGTTTTCTTGGAGTTTTCCTCTTTTTTTTAGTTTCCTCTTTTTTTTTTTTTTTTTTTTTTTTTTTTTTTTTTTTTTTTTAGTTTCCTCTTCTGTGGGTTTGTAGTCATCCTTAAGGATTCCTGTGTAGGGCTCCAGAACACGTGTTAAGGAATATTTCTGCCTCTCATATTTTTCTTGAAATTCATCTCCTCCTCTAATCCAGAATGAGGCTGCATATCTGGGTGGATTAGTGGTTTCCTGAAGCTGCCATTTACATGATTGTCTTGTTCAGAGTCCAGAGCTCAGCTGCAGGGCAAGACCACCACCCATGAATGGCATGTCTGTTCCATATCTAGGTCTCTCATCACACAGCTTCTTTCCTGGAAGCTCATCATTCAACCATGTGGAATCATTTCCCGTCACCCCAGAATGTGCTTTTCCCACCATCTCTTCTTTCCACACGAGGTTCCATTTGATGAAAAAGTCCACTGGCTCCTCCATCTTGGCCTCCCTATGCAGCCTTCTGTGTTTCTAGGCATCATATTGACTCTGAGATTTTTTTTTTCCTTTTATGACTTCCCAAACCTTTTCTGCCCCCATGTTCTAAAAAGTAAAGCTCTATAATTGCATTTACAACGTGGATATAAATTTATCTGTTCACAATGGATCTTCCACAGTCAGCTGTGGTTGGGATCTTAGAGGCAGGAGACCTGCAACTGTGTCTTTACATGTGTGACACCTAGTACCATGGCTGGGATATAGACAACCTTAAAACTTTATCAGAATGAGTGGAGAAACCCATCATTGATGCTGCTCTGTTATTTAATATATATGTTTATAATATATATATATATATATATATATATATATATGTATGTATGTATAGTTACTTATTAGTTCCTTGAGAATTTTGAACAAGGTGTTTTGATCACATTCACTTCTCCCCCAGATCTACTCCTTTCTCTACTCACTCAACTTCACATCCTTTCTATTTTTAAACCCATCACATCAAATTTGTGCTGCTCATATATTTTTAGCTGTGTGGCCTTCCACTGCAGCATGGTCAGCTTCTCAGGGGCTATACTCTTGGAGAAAATGGACTCTCTGTGGACCAGGATTGGGACTCCATGCCCACCTCCTCTCTCCACACCTGCATTTGGTCTGGATGGAGCTTGTACAGGTTATATGCTGGTGTCCCAGATGCTGGGAGTTCATATATGCAGCTGCTCTGATATGTCCCAAAGATGCTGTTTCCTTGCAATCACCCACCACCGTGGATCTTACACTATTCCCTCCCTTTCCTCCAAAACAGTCTCTGAATCTTACAGGAAGGCCATGTGATATATGTGATATAGATGTCCCATTTTCGGTTGAGTGTTCTTCAGTCTCTTACTCTCTGTACCTTTATCCGTCGTGGTCTTCTGTGTTAATCTTTGGCTCTAAGGGGCTTCTCAGATGAGTGTGGAGAGATGCAGTGGTCTATGGGAATATTAAGTCACCAGGAGTCCTCCCTGTTCTTATGTCTAAATATCATTGATGTTGTTTGCTATGTAGCATATGCTTCCAAATGCTTCATACATTTCCTTGCTGTTTGTGTATAAATGCCACTGTTTCAAAATGAAGCAGAAATGCAGAGATGAATGTCCAATAAACAAATTTGTACTTGACAATAAGGACTGCAATAAGAGACACACATGTACACAAACTGAATGGCCACAAGTATGTCCTGAGAACGAAGAAGGAAATAGAAGTTTTATTAGGGCAGAGAATATCAGCAAGTTGTTTTGACTGAGAGTTCAGTAACACTTTCAGAGCTTGTCAGGGCTGATAAAGTCTGATTGGTGAATTGCTATGCAGAGCCAGCTGTGAGCTCTTATCTGGCAATTCCACTGTCAGTTGCTAAGTAAGAATATTCTTAAAGATGTGGCACACTGTTTCATCATCTTGTCTCTGCTGTGAGGTCATCCCTGCTGCAGGTGGTGAAGACCTGGGTGCTCTGCTGCTTTTCCAAGGGCTTTTGACTCTATTTTTAAGTGACTGAGAAGAGTGTGTCCCCTCTGCATTAAGCATTTTCACAATTGCTTTTCAGAGAGTGCTACATTCCACCACCTGAGACACATTTATGTTGGATTCATGACTCTGAAATCCACCAAGGATATCCAATGCTTGTTGGCACTGCAGAAATGTCCCCACCCTTTAAAGGCCAGAAAAGGTTGCATTGTTTCAATTATTTTTCTGTCCTGTTATTAAGACATGGCAGATAAATACTGTATAACTGATATGCAGAATTGTATATGTGTACATTTTGAAATTATTCAACTGAGTTAATTAATATACTTTTCAAGTCAAATACTTGTGATTTTCTGGTTTTGTTGAGACCCTTTAAGATACATTTTTAATTTCCAAAGCATTATTTTTCTTTGTAAATATGCTAAGTTCTCCAGAACTCATTTGTTGTGCCAGACTCAATCTTTCCATCTTTTACCAATATCCCAATCCTCCTGCCATAGCCGTAGGCACTAATCTGCACTCTTTTATGAAGTCAGCATTTTTTTTTTGTTGTTGTTGTTGTTTGGTTTTTCGAGACAGGGTTTCTCTGTGTAGCTTTGCACCTTTCCTGGAACACACTTTGGAAACCAGGCTGGCCTTGAACTCACAGAGATCTGCCTGCCTCTGCTTCCTGAGTGCTGGGATTAAAGGCGTGCGCCACCAACGCCCAGCTGAAGTTAGCATTTTAGATTCCATGTATAAGTGAGCTCATGCTAATATGCCAGTTCTATTTACTTAACTTAGTGTAGCGTCCAACAGGTTCATACATGTTGTAGATGCCAATGCTCCCTGTTTTTCAATCTGAATAGTATTCAATTATATAAGGAATATATATGTATATGTATATATATATATATATATACACACACAATAAAAATAAAATATGTATGTGCATACATGTGTATAGCTTATATATACATATTTTATTTTTCAAAAAATATGCCTGGGGTACCTATATATATTTCATTTCGTGGCTGTTTTAAAGAAGGCTTGAAGGAGCATGATCACAGAAAATCTTTGAGAGTTTGATTTCCTATTCTTTGGATAACACAGACTGGAATTACTGCAGTATAACATGGCAACTGCATTCACATTTTTATTTCAGATTCTTTACACTGGCTGTTCTAACTTATGTTATCACCCATGGTATGTATGGGCTTCCTTTTCTCCAGATCCTTGATAAAACGTATCATTAAAAAAAGATAAACACAAATTTTCCCCCTAAAATGTGCTTCCTATATATATATCTTCAGTTTACTTAGCTTCTGGCTGTTGGATCCTGTCACCTCACACTGTTTATCTAAAGCTCTTTCTGTCCCAGACTGTTCTGTGGAGACAGGTTCATAGGAGGCAAGTCAGTTTAAGTGATTTCATAAGTGTTCGGTTAATCTTATAGGTGAAAAACAGCTCCTTCTGGAATGTGGTTAATATGAAGTTGTGGCTTCCTGGAGCACAAGAAAAGGATCTCCTCGGAGCCTGTGTGGTACCTTGATGGCACCCCTCCAGTCCATAAAACAGTATGATATTTTCTGTTATGTAAGATACCTCGGCTTTTGGTATTTTCTTCTAGCAGCCTGGGTAAATTCTGTCTTTACAAATGTGTTCCTACTGTTGATAAAAAACATTTGACTGTTTCATGGGCTGGTTGTGTATGTAGGACCATCCTCAAGTCCTGCCGCGTTAGTGAGACAGACTTCCATAGGAATGCCAGCTACAGTAGATGAGGTCCTGAGTAGGGTACTGTAACAGAGTCACTAGGGTCTTCAGAAGAAAGGACATGGATTGCATCCCACTGCTCCTCCTCTCCCCCTTCTTGTTTTCTCCCCTCCCTCTCTCCCTCCTTTGCTCCCTCACCATTCTTCCCCCCACCCCTCTGCCATTTCTCTTTCCAGTGCATATAGAAACAGGACCCTCAGCCCGTACCAGAGTTTCTTGTTCCCCTGCCCCAGGGTCACAAGAAGCGAACTTTTACTGTTTAAGCACTTCAGCCTCTGGTATTTTATTGTAGTTGCTCTGGTAAAATAATGCAAATTGTATGCTCATATATATGTTATCAAATTTTAAATATTTAAACAAAACTACTTCATATTATTTAAATTATTTGAAATTAATGTCTATTTCTTAAACTTGAAACAAAGAAGAGTATGCTGAAATTTAAAAAATTAATTAAATATGAGGTTAATATTTTGAAAAGTAAAGTATATAATTTTAAGCTTAATATTTTAAAAAGTAATATTTAAAATAAAGTTAACTGCACTGAATTTCAAGTATTTCTAGAATGCTAATATACATACATATCCAAAGCATACTAAGCTTATATTAATATTAAGATTTAAATGTAGAAATTTTACCTATTAACAGAAATCTTAGTGGAATTTATCTGCCAAATCAAATGAAATGGCAGTGAGCATGCACTCAGTGATTCCGTTGAGTTGTAATCATGCTACATATATTTGCCTTTGTTTCTCAGAACTCCCAAGAGACTCATACAATGAATCATTTGTCTTATGGATGAGAAATAAAATAATAGGAAAGTCAGGCAAGCCTGAGTCAGAGGCAGAAAGTGGAGACCCTTCAGCCCTTCACTGCTCTCCAAAAATGACTCGGGAGTAGGCACCTCAGTCTCACATACACTGTACTTTCTACCGGTCTGACCCACATCCTTTATTCTATTGCTAATCTTTTATTAGAATTTCTATAGCTGCTTATTTTTCCTAGAACTTACTGAAGTAAATATAATTCATCTGTTGTAAAATTAAAAATCTGTAATCCCCCACTGATTATCTTCTCAGAGTTTTAAAGTAAAAATGTTTCATATATTTTTACTTTAATATATTTATATACACCTAATTAAATACACCTAATTAAATAATATGGTTTGTAATCAGCATGTTAAGGTTTTACTAAATTAGCCACTTTTTGTAGCTTTATCTTTATTTTTTTCACTTCTGAGGAGCAAGTTTCAAATGTGATGAGGCCACAGAATAGCAACAGAAATGTTTAGACTTATCTGCAACTTCCCCCTCCTCCCTGCCCTTCCTGTAGGTGGTATCCTTTTGTGTGACTGTCGGGGAGGTGTGTGAAGCTCATCAGAATGCAGGCTGGATCTGTATGCTCCCCATCCATGCACTGCCCCTCAAACCTTGAAGACATATGGTGAAAACACACAAAACAAATGACGTGATGTAATTGTGGATTCATGATCAAACAGTTTGGATTTTATAGAGGACAGGTGCCTACGGTATACAAACCTACCACACAGTTTTCCATATGAAATGAGGTTTTGTATGTTTAGCTCTTGAGACTGGAGGTTCCCAGTTTATACAAATTTCTTAGTGTATACAAATAACATAAACATTAGGAACTGGCACACCCACTTCTTAGAGACCACCAGGATTCACCGAGAGGGAATAAACATAGCCCACTAACAGAATGTATTTAGCCTCCTCTAGGAATCAGCCAGTTTTGTAGAAGGAATAAAAACCATCACCTGTGAGCGCTTAAGTCACTGACTTAAGTGACTTTACCAATCAATTCAAATGTATGAGATTTACTTTTTAACAGATATTTTAAACATACTCAGTTGTATTTCCCAGGATAATGTATTTCCCTTTTTCCCTCGATAGAAACTTTTAAATTATAATTTGCCACATACTGAGAAAATATTATTTTTAAGAAGCAGTAAATGGATGGAAGAATCCCACTAGTTAATATCAAATTCAGCTGTGTGATGTTTTGATGATTGTCTGAAAACCCCTAATGGTTTCTTCATATCCCCTACAGCCATAAATTAAGTATGAATAACACCAATAATAATACATTTTAATAAAGAACATTAATTAACATATGTTGAATGCTAATGAATCTTTTCTTCCTGGCAGTCAGTGTTACCAGCCAGAGGGCAGAAGGATATAAGGTGAACACCTCGCATCTCCATCACAGTGGTTGATTGTGGAAGACAGGTAGCGACCCACAGCCATGGCAATGCAATGATTTCTAAATGAAATTATTCAAGCAGAGGAAAAATCTCCATTTATTTATTTAAGAAGTGTTTCTTATCTTCATACAATTTAATATCTAATCACTGAAAGCAAAATTACAACTGCTTTATATCAGCAAACTCTAGGGAGTTCTATTTTATTAGTGTGCAGCATAATTCTGCACAGTTTAGCTCCTGGTATTCAGGCACCACAGTAGAAATATAAAATATCTGTTGATTAATATTTGCTCTGGAAATGGCAATGTGCTAGCTATGACTTGGGACAGAACTTAGCATTATTAATTGACAACACAGGTATGGCAAGTCACATTTCCACCTAGCTATTCATCTAAATGATGACAGTTTCAACAGAGATCTTGACAGTGAAAATTAATCACTACTGAATGAAAACTGCCCATGAAATTCTTATGGCAAAGATGGTCAGACCACATGAATGCTTCTCTATTATTGTATTTTACTATTTGTCAAAAAAGTTTATATATTGTGGCTGGAGAGATGGTTCAGTGGTTAAGTGGACTACCTGCTCTTCCAGAGGATCTGAGTTCAGTTCCCCAAATCTACATGGTGGTGCACAATTGTACGTGGCTTCAGTTTCAGGGAACATGACACCTGCTTCTGTCCTCCTCAGGCACACCAGGCACATGGTACACTTACATACATGCAAGCAGAAACACAAATACACATAAAAATAAAAATTTAAACAGTTTATATTTTATGCTGCCTTCTATGCTTTATGTTATAGCTGTGTTA